CTTTATTTAAAACATGGTTGGAGCCAGACTTTGCCTCCTTTCTTCTTCACACTTTCCTCCAGTCTGCTGCCTGGCATAGAGATGTGATGGCTTATGAACCACCACCTTGGACCATAAGAATGAAAAGATACACTTTAGAGTTAGGCTCGGAAACCAGTTAAAACAAACCAGGATTTTCAATCAAATCTGTCTAGTTGTTTAGTAATGATGTTTATTATCATTAACATCAAGATAACAGTGAATTTGGGGCCTAGCTCCTAAAGTATGAACATGGGAAGGATTAAATTCTAATTAAGTTGCATGCTTTTGACCTTACTCTGTCTGTTTTTTTTAACTGAATTTATTCCAATTGTATCAAAACTACAAAATCTCTCTTGATCATCTGAACATTTTACTGTGGAAATAAACATTTTACTGTGGCTTTGTGGAAGTTTCCCTTATTAGTATAACTTACAAACACTACGGAGAAAGAAATTTTGATTGATAAGTACTGTAATAGTCAACACAAGGAGGAGAACCAAAAGCAATTGATTCCTGTATATGATCCTTATTCATTAAGATCAAAGTCCTGCTATTTTTTCAATATTCTCTAGAGATTTTCTGAGAAACACCCTTAATCCATGATCTTTATTTTATTGCTCGTGGTAACTTTATAAATTGTAAAATGTCTCTTGAGGAAAAGAACTATTGTATGGGTTTATGAAATATAGATTTCAATTAGTTTACATTCCAAGGAGGACAAGCTTATATTTTAATGCAACTACTGATGGGGTAATTAAGCATCGATTAATAAACTTGCTGAACCATTTCTAAAATATATATAAAGCCATATTGCAATTTATGTATAGCTTATGTTGTACAAGTTTCTTGCAGCTGGAAATAAAACCCATACTTTAATGTCAATATATAAAAATCAATATGTAAACATCTAAATGAAAGGCTTCTAAAATATTTACTGTATTCTGAACTTTTCTATAGAAGTTTAATCAAACTTGGGGAGAAAATCTATTAATATTACTATAATAATTATGTAATTTTACATGTTTCTCATTCTGCATATATGAAAAGTATACCTATAGAATTATTATCAATTATTACTACAATAATCTGTTTATATAAGAAACCTACAAAGACTGTAAACACTTTGAAAATAGGTGCAATATATTAATCATTATTTTGTATTTGCTGAGCTATATAGCACAATGCTTCACAAGAAATTCTCATTTAATAATATTAACTTAATTGTCATTACAACTTATATTCAGAAAATGACCCTCAATTCAGAAAAGTTTCCATTGCTCAATAAATGATCAGTTGTATTTTGTATATACCACTCGAAAATAGAAAATTGGAATAAGTATATTTAAAATAGTTCTCAACAACAACAACAAAGTCATCCAATAAACAGAAAATCTAAATACTCAGATTACTATTCTCTCTAAATATTCTGGTCTTTGGAGGTTTTACTCCACACAGTTCCAATTAGGAAATATTTTTTGTTTCAGTAAGGTTTTCCTGTATATTGATGTTTGATTCAAACCCTCTCTAATCAGTAATATATTCCTCATAACTTTTATCTTGAAAGATGGACTTGATTTTAAAAGAATGGTTTGGATAGATGCATAAAAATCATTTGTATTTCTCTTCATGAAGCCTTCACTGAATGCCTCGCAACTTCCATTTGTCAATCGATTTTACAATCAGGCAATGTATACAAGACAATGCTTAAACCATCAAGTTTCATTGATTTCACAAAGCTGTTTATCAAACAGAATTGAAGAATCTTTTTCGCTAGCCTAAACCAGTTTAACAAAATTCAGCCCCCTTTGCCAACACTATTATAAAGTCCTTAATCTATAGGCTTACAATAATCAAGCTTCAAAAGTCCTGAATTAACATGTGCTCCCTAGAGTTTTCATTTCAACTGTAACTCCAGGAGTAAAGCGGTATGTGAGGCTTTAATAAAATCACCAATTATTCTATTTGGTATTGATTCTGTTATAAATACGGCTACAGTTGCAAGCATGGGCTTTTCAGATTTACGTCCAACAGTGAGTGAACTATATAATCCTCATTCAGAAAAAAATTAAGACTATAATTAGGAGTTTGTAGCAATAGGAAAAGGTTGGTTAACAAAATTATTCATTTATGCATGGGGCAAATATATATGAAGCACAATGAAGAAACATTAACAAGATCCGTATTAATACTAAAAATCACAATCTGGCTTACTGTGGCTGTGGAAACCAGCAATCCATTTGCTTACTCAAGAATGACAAGAGAGAAAACAATAATAAGAATTAAATCAAAATTTTGCCTAATTTTCACTTAAATCCCTATGTCAGATATTAAGAAATGAATAATTATTTATTTAGCACCTGCTGTTGACCCAGTATGATAGAAAAACATGTATTGATTAAAATGCCCAAGGTCTTTTATAGGG